AGAGGGCTTGATGCCTTTCTAGACTTTAGATTCAGCAGCAATGTAACGGAGGTTCCTTTTTTGGGGCCTAGGTTCACATGGAGCAACAAAAGGGAGGGCAACGAGCTCATCCTAGAAAGGCTAGATCGTGCCTATATCATAGAGGAATGGTTTATCCATTCCCCCGATGGGAGAATCTCTCATGAACCGATTGTGTGTTCTGATCATGCAACTATTATTTATTGTGATAAGCCTAGCTCTTCTCCTTCTAATAGGCCTTATCAGATTGAAAATTGGTGTATGGCCTTCCCGGAAGTCAAAGAAATTGTTAAGACTACTTGGAAAGATGAAATTCGGGGTTCACACATGTTCCAGTTGTCGAGAAAACTGGGTATGCTAAGATCAAAGATTCTGGTGCTTGGAAAATAAAAAGGTCTGGGGGATCAACTGGAGGAAGCTTTCTAGAGATCTTCAAAGTAAGGGGTTGAAGGTCAACACTCTTCAGGAAGGGGAAGGGTACATCCAGCATATAAATTTGCTCATTCCAGAAAGCCAGCTGAGTTTTAGCTTCTGGAAACAAAGGATGAAGGCTAATTGGGTGAAGTTTTGGGATTGCCCAACCCCTACAATGTATAGGAAGGTAAAGCAGAGGCAACAAGCCAACGAGATTCTTACCCTAAAGAATGACAATGATACTTGGGTAGAGGGGCAAAAGGATGTAGAAGAGGTAATTCTCTCTTCAATCAAGGATATTTATAACCCGGTGACTAGTGATAATCATGGAGAAGAAATTGATCTTCTTCTCCGTCAACTGGACACCCCTTCTCTTTCTGAAGAGGATCGGGTTTGGTTGGATAAGGGCTTTACAGAGGGGGAAATCAAAAAAGCAATGTTGGATATGCACTGTTCTAAATCTCCGGGTCCAGATGGTTTCATGGTAGACTTCTTTAAATTCTACTGGGAGGAGGTAGGGAATTTAATTGTTGACAGTGTGAAGCAGTTTTTGAGATCAGGTAACATGTTGAAGGAATGGAACCAATCTCTTCTTGTTCTGATCCCAAAAGTTAAAGTGCCGGAAGTCGCCAGTCAATTTAGACCTATCAGTCTCTGCAACACGATTTATAAGTGCATCTCAAAATGCCTTGTTAATAGGCTAAAGGTCATTCTCCCCAGGCTTATCACGGAAAACCAGAGTGCCTTCATTCTAGGAAGATACATGGAGGACAACATCCTCCTGAGTCATGAGCTTATGCACCTTATAAATTCCAAGAAAGGCTCAAACTATACAGCAGTTAAGATAGATATGTCAAAGGCCTATGACAGGGTGGATTGGCTTTTTCTCCTTAAAGTCATACATGCCTACGGTTTCTCTGATCACTGGGTGAAGATGGTTTCACAGTGCATCTCAACGGTAAGTTTTAAAGCTGTAATTAACAGGAAAACTTCAGATCACTTCACACCTAAATGCGGTCTGAGACAGGGGGACCCTCTCTCCCCGTATCTCTTCATTCTCTGTATGGATATCCTCTCGAGAATGTTATCTCTTGCAGAGGATATAAATCAATTTCAGGGGTTAAAAGTGTTACGCAGGTCCCCTTCGATCTCTCATCTTTTCTTTGCAGATGATATTATGCTTTTCTTCAAAGCAAACGAGGCTTCCTGTGATTGCATCACTGACATCCTTCAGAGGTTTGGGAAAGCCTCGGGGCAACAATTAAATCTCCAAAAATCGTTTATAAAGTTCTCTCTAGGGGTCGATAGTGGTAAAAGGACAGTTGTGAAGGAAAGTCTAGCCATGCCTGAAATTGGAAATATGGGGATTTATTTAGGAGCCCCGGTTGATATTCAAGGTAAGAAGAAGTCTCACTTCCAATTTTTGGTGGACAAAGTTTCAGAAAAAATTGTTTCTTGGGCCTCCTTGCGTCTGTCTCAACCTGCAAAGTTAATTCTTATCAACACAGTGCTCATTAGCATGTCAGCCCATGTCATGAAGTGTTTGAAACTTCCTCAGAGCATTGCAAACAAGATTGACTCCTTAATTACTCGGTTTTGGTGGTCTAATAATGGCAACAAAGGGCTACACTGGGTAAGCAGGAGCATCACTCATCTACCAAAGAGTATGGGAGGATTAGGGATTAGAGGCTCTTCAGCCCTAAATGATGCTCTCCTCTTCAAACAAGCCTCTAGGATGCACCAAAACCCCCAGTTGCTACTCTCGAGGGTTCATAAGGGTTTTCAAGAGGGGGGTATTCGCAACTTTGCTAATTCCCTGTGAGAACAGGAAACCCCTCTATGGGAAGATCTAGCCTTCAAAAGGTTACCCAGGTGTTCAGAGATGGGTTTGCTTGGAAGGTAGGAAATGGGGAAAATATCATGGCTATCAGTATGCTCTGGGTAAGGGGGGAGATACCACTGGTTAACTCACAACAATCTCTAAGGGCAGTTGTAGATTGGAAAGTGAAGGACTTTATAGATGATGACTCGGGCTCTTGGAAAGCTGGAAGGATTAGGGAATGTTTTGAATGGGAAAGTGCCAAATCCATTCTTTCAATGGAACTCCCGCATTCTAGCGAGGATGATTTCCTTTACTGGAAATATCATCCCTCAGGAAGGTACACGGTGAAGACTGGCTATTACTTTTTATCTAAAGATTTGGGACTAGAAAATTTCGCTTTCCAGGATAGGGACCAGACCTTTGTAAAACTGATTTGGAGAATGGATATCCAGCCAAAATGGAAGCTCTTCCTATGGAAACTTTTTCATGATGGCATTGCAGCTAAAGCAAATCTGGCTAGAAGGGGTATCCAACTGAATGAGGTTTGTGATCACTGTGGGGTGGCCTTGGAGGACAACCATCATCTTTTTAGATTTTGTATTCTGGCAAAGGAAGTTTGGGTTAATGGCCCTCTTTTTATTTGCCATGACTCTCCTGAGACCAACCTTTTGAAAGGTTGGATTCAGCTTTATATCCTGCTCTTTTATAGCGAGGATGGTAAGCACAACCACCGTTGTGCGTTGTTTATTGCAACTTTATGGGGGCTATGGAAGTCAAGGAATGAAAGATGTTTCAAAAATGCTAGGAGTACGAGAGCGCAAGTGATGGAGTTTATAAATCTAGCAATGAAAGACCACGAGACTTTCACACAGCAAGGACACTTGGCTAGGGATGTAGGGGCTAACAGTGGGAATGACCCAATCATTCCCCCGGGTTTCAATTACGTTCATCTAGGTAAAGAGACGGATGGGTTTGATGATTTCATAGTAGAAGTGGATGGGTCCTGGGATAAGAAGACTACAAGGGCGGGCATTGGTTGGGCGGTAAAGAACAATTCTCAAGGCCATGACCTGGAGGTAGGTGGGAAACATGGAGCAGCATCATCGGTGCTCCATTGCGAGGCCTGGGCTTGCCTTGAAGCAATGAAATGGGCCCATGCCAAAGGTAAGCAAGGGATTCTTATCTTATCCGATTCAACCTCTCTTCTGGACAATTTACAGGATAATCTAGATAGAGATATTCTAATAACCTGGATTCTAAAAGAATTAAGGGAGGTTGGATCGGTTTTTTCGAAGGTGCACAATCTTAAAAGTTCAGAGGAACCAGGTTCAAAAGGCGGACGACATAGCTAGGAATTGTCGGACTACCTTGTCTAGTTTTCCGTAGTACTTTGTTTTCCTTTGCTATTGTAAAAAAAAAGGAGCATTATTAGAGCATGTATAGCTACCCTTTCCTCTTCACTAGAACTATGAAGCATGCTTATTAGATTGATTTGAGGATTTTTTATGAATATACGTATAAGAAATGAGGTGAAGATTGTATAAGGATAGAGGATGAGCTAGTAGATGGAGTAACAACCCTAACAGGTTGGATAAAGATTATTTGAGGAGGGCGCATTTTGCATCATATTTCAACCCTAATGGATTCTCACGTGGGGGGCGTTATAAAGTATAACACGTAATCTTGGGTCTCAATTATCAACTCAAGTTTTTAATTGAATTGGTCCTTTAACGATTACCTTCCAAAACGAAAGTGATTGTTCTTCACTTACTACTACTTGCATGCCTAATTCCTTATTTGATCACCACTGCACCTAATTATTAATCAAACTCGCTCATCGCCAATTCCTTATTTTAATTAATTTACAAATTACAAGTATACAACCGCACCCTAAATCATAAATAATTATAAAAATATTGTACGTTAGCTTCCAAAGTTAGGCTTTGATACAATGTTGTTCACCAAAACAATGCTCCAGAAGGCACCATGCAACAACGTGTAGTAGACAGTCTGCCTTCTGTTGCGAACATAGCAATGTTGAAGGTGCATGTTTGATACTTGGATAATTTAATTTGGCATAATTCTCACTGTCTTCTACCCATTTTTTAAGATGCATGTTGCATTGGATGCTTGGTTTATCTAACACTAGCACATCACAACTAAGGAAAATCGTACCGTTTGAATCCAAATTGATTCATAAATAATAAGTCATACATATAATATTTGATTGATTGGGGATCGTCGTTATTTGGAATTGAGTTTTAAAACGCAACATACATATACAATTGTCATACATTCAACAATTTATAAAAATCAACGCCACGCCTATTTCAATGCAATGGGAAAAAAATGTTCAAATGAAAGTTTAGACAATGACTATATTTTAGAATGATTTATAATAGAAGTAATTTGGTAATTTATATAGTATTATGTACAAGCTAAGCTTATTTTTGAGGAGTTAGTTTGTTGTTCATCTAAAATGTCTTTAATATATATATATATATATATATATACTACTACTACAAATCCCTTAGTTTCTAGACGCAGTTGGCTCGACGCAGTGGGGTGGGCGTCAGCTGAAAAATTTGATCCCGCTTTTTCTCGACGCTTTTTAGCGTCGAACGGTTTTCTAGACAGCAAAAAGCGTCGAGAAAAAGTCACGTGTATATCGTTCTGCATTCCTCGACGCTTTTTGTTGTCTAGACTACAAATAGACGTAAAAAAGCGTCGAGAAAATGGCACATGTTTTGCACGTGGTAACATATATCGCTTTTCGTCGACGGTTTTTCGGGTTAACTAGTGCCCTTAAAAATAATTTTATACGAGCCGTGCCTTATTATTTTAGCCCGGGGCTTTTAAATTTTGTGAAAAATTAGGCGGTGCTTTTAAAAAAAAATCAAAATTACCAATGCAAATTAAATTAAAATATTAAAAATATATTATGAACTAGTTTCCTTAATTCCAAATAAAAAAAACATCGATCAGTTTCATTACTCAGCTCCATCAAGAACGACCACGCTGCTACTTTCTCTCGTCTGGTGTCGTTCTTCAACTGCAGCAGTGATAAGGTAATGTAAAACCTAATTAAGTCTTTCTATAGATCACTCTCGCACTCATGAATTCTATCAATTCTTCATTATTTTGTAATTTGCAAATTTCTTAACAAATTAGGGTTTGAAGTTGTGAGAAGTTCTTGCTGTCAATTTCATCAATTTAGAGTAATCTTCTTCCCTTTCTTTATAATTTTGATGTCTTTATACTCGATTTTCGTTGTTATACCTTAAATTTTAATTTTTTTTCTTCAATTTTCAATGAAATTGGGAATTGTTGTCCTATAGCTAAGTCAAAACGAAAGTGAAGGGATCGAATTACGTTCGTATTGGAGCAGCTACAATAAAGACGCAGGACAAAGGGAATCCAAGCTTCAAACAGGTGAGTAGTATATTTTTGTTTTCTTATTTGATGTCGTGAATTATGTTGATGTTATGTTGCTTGCGTGCTATTGCTGTTCTATTGGCTAGCTAGAGTCGTTTGTTGTTGTTTTGTATTTTGGGAAATAATATGTGTTGATTCACTTGAATTTTTCTATGAGTATGTCTCTGTTACTATGTGTTCTTTCTTTTATGTTTGCTGATTTTTTAAAGTCAATTATATTAGTTCTTAGCTTAATGTGCTTAATATCTTAATGGATTGTAATTTTGTAGTTGTTATTGAAATTATGTAATGATTTTCTAGGCGAGGCAGGGAATTCGGGTTGGATGTTCTGCTTATGATATGTTGTTGGATGATTGGTATGTTTTGGGGATACTTTTGGAAGTCTGATGCATTTTTGGTTGTTCTGCTGGAATTTAGTCTGTTGGTGTTAGTTATGCTTTGGTCCGAAGATACAATTGAAGACTGCCTCACACCAGTTTGTATGATCCTTGTTGTTTTTTGTTTCGTACTTGTGAAGTGTGGTTTGTTTTGTGGCAATGTGCTTCTGTTTGTTTTATGTATTGGGAGATGATGTTCTTCTGTTGGTGTTGTTCTTTCTTTTGTGTTTGCTGAATTTTTTTAAGTCAATTATATTGGTAAACTAAATTTCTCCATAGTTCTTAGCTTAATTATATTGATAAACGGAGGATAGGTATTATTGTTTAGTCAATTATAGAAACAGTTCCTTCCTGTGAACTAACTATTTTTGTCAGATTATACACTTTACCAAAAGAATACTTTATTCGAACAGTAATAATAAAATGATCCATAATCTGGAATTATTTATATACCTGCAATTTAATGGTGAAATATTGTATAAATCTAGAAGTCAATGTCATTTTCTAAAGGAATAAAATCAAGACTTATGTGGGAAATTGGGTATTAGGACACGTTGAGTTTCTGTAAATGCAAATCTCATTGTTTACATCAATTGCATGGTATTATCACTACTTGTGTCAGATTATTTATTTGGACTATCTATATTGCTAGCTAGCTTTTCATATTCATAATCTTCTTCTTCTTCTTACATATTACTATATAAGACGGCAACCAATTTAATAATGCTAACACTATTAGTTAATAATGCTAACACTATCTATAATTATTTATCAATAATATTTTGTATAATAAATATTGATTAATAATTATTCATTTTCTTTTGTAGACATGGATAATAGTTGGATAGATTTACCTAAAGGTGATCCTAACTATTATAAAGGTTGCATGAAATTCTTAGACCTTGCTAAAGAGACTATTTCACAAAATACATTGTTAACTCGTTGCCCATGTAACAAGTGCAAGTTAAGTAAATGGTTTTCGGTAGATGAAGTTGGAGGCCATATTCTATTTAATGGATTTTATAAAAATTATAAAAATTGGGTATTTCATGTTAGAGATAAAGGGAGTACAACCTCTAGTATAAGTAATAGTCAAGAAAAGATCGTGGGTCGAGATGATATGGACGGGTTACTTAGAGCAGCTTTTAGAGTTGATGATCCACAACCCACTCAAGAACCCCATAATCAATCATTATCTGAACCTAGTATCGAGGATGTCGATTTGTGTGGCATGGATGAGGGGTTAGATCATAACACTCAATCACCTTTCACAGGTGAAGAACATGTAAAGTATAATAAACTCATGGAAGCTTCTGGAGAAGGCTTATATGAGGGTTGTACTACCTTTTCAAAGCTTTCATTTCTATTGCACTTGTTTCATCTAAAGTGTATGTTTCATTGGTCTGCCGAGTCATTTAATAAACTACTTGAACTTCTATTAGACGCATTTCCTATCATTAAGGAGTTTCCATCGTCTTATTATGAAGGCATGAAAGTAATCAATGATTTGGGATTGGGATATGAGAAAATCCATGCATGTCCAAATGACTGCATGCTATATTGGGGTGAATTTTCAGAAAAAAGTGAGTGTCATATATGCCATGCATCAAGGTAGAAAATTGTGAAAGGAAAGGAGGGTGATGTAAGTGAGAAAGGTAAAGAAACATGTAAGAAAGGTGAGCCGGCTAAAGTAATGCGGTATTTTCCCCTCATCCCTAGATTAAAGAGACTGTACATGTCTTCAAAAATAGCAGAGGACATGAGATGGCATTATAATCTGAAGATGATGGCATTCTACGGCGTCCTGCGGATGGAGAGGCTTGGAACAAATTTGATGAAAAATATTTAGAGTTTGCCGCCGATCCTCGTAGTGTTAGATTGGGCCTTGCTAGTGACGGTTTTAATCCATATCGTCTAATGAATACCAACTATAGTACGTGGCCAGTGGTCCTTATTCCATATAATTTACCGCCATGGCTTTGCATGAAGTCGTCATCATTCATTCTATCTACTATTATTCCTGGTAAATCCGGTCCTGGTATGGATATTGACGTGTACTTGCAACCACTGATTCATGAGTTAAAATTGTTGTGGCTAGGTGTTGATGCCTTTGATTCTTATAGTGGAAAGAACTTTAAATTGCGAGCAGCCTTACACTCCACTATTAATGACTTCCCGGCATATGCTATGTTGTCGGGTTGGAGTACAAGAGGCTACAAAGCTTGTCCATCTTGCACTGATTCCACGTATTCATATAGATTTGGCGGTAAACTTGTGTACCCCGGGCATCGAAAATGGTTGCCAATTGATCACCCGTATCGTTCGCAAGCTAATTCATTCGACGGGAATGAGGAATATGGTCTTGCTTCGGTTCCTGCAAGCGGTACTGAAGTTTTGAAGCAACAAGATAAGGTAAAGTATGTTTATGGGAAATCCAAAAATGTTCCAAAAAAAAGAGGGAGAAAGAATGCTGATCTGATGCTGATGATGATGATGATGACGCCGACTTAGTTCTTTGGAAAAAGAAAAGTACATTTTTTGAGTTAGAGTATTGGGAGCATAATCCTCTTAGGCATAATTTAGATGTTATGCACATTGAAAAAAATGTGTGTGATATTTTATTAGGAACTCTTTTAGGTATGGAAAACAGTAGAGATGATAGAAGTGCTCGAGTAGCCCTTGAGGGTAAAAATATAAAGTCTCATCTTTGGATTGACCCTCGAGGTGACATCCCTCCAGCCCCTTACACCATGTCTAATGAGGAGAAGGAACGGTTTTTAAAAGTTTTAAAGAAGCTTAAAGTTCCTGATGGATATGGATCTAATTTGCAAAGATGTGTGAACTTGAAGCAGCGAAAACTTATTAATATGAAAAGCCACGATAATCATATCCTCATGCAAGATATCCTTCCTGTCGCTTTAAGGGCGTCGAATGCCACAAAAGTTATTGACTTGCTTGAGGAGTTGTCAGATTTTTTTAAAAAGATATGTTCAACCACTATAGATACAAGAGAATTAGATGCCATTCAGTCAAAGCTTGTGCTGACTCTTTGTAAGATAGAGATAGAGTTTTTACCTACATTTTTAACAATCATGGTTCATCTAATTATTCATTTAGTGGATGAGGTTAGACTTGGCGGACCAGTTCATTACAGATGGATGTATCCCATTGAAAGGTTTGTGTTTAAATACTTTTTTTTTCTTTTGTTATTATAGATAAAAATTCATTCCAATATTTTCCAAATTCTTTCACATTCACACACATAATCACTTTTTTTATTTCAAGGTACTTGGCGTTTTTGAAATCTCATGTAAGCAATAAAGCGCAACCGGAGGGATCTATAGCAGAGGGGTAACTTTTATGGGAGACAATTGCATTTTGTTCGAGATATTTAGAAAGTGTTGAGACCATATTTAATAGACCAAGAAGGAATGAAGATGGCGTGCCCGACGATGAGAACTATCTGTTTAACTCTGGTGGTCGTGTTGTTGGAAAGAAAGAAAATGTTCGTTTGGATGATAGAAGTTTAAAACAAGCACATTGCTATGTTTTACTTCATTCTGATGAAGTGACACCGGTGCTTGAGTAAGTAGCATTATAGGTTTTTTTTTTTTTTTTTCTCTTCGTTAGTAATTTGACATTTTGAATTTTCTATAGTGAGTTCATAACACTAAAACGACAAGGGAATGAAGTTGGAGGAAGCCAAGCAAATGAATCCATTGAAAATCAATGGATAATTAATGAATTTCCTGATTGGTTATTAAGCCAGGTTATATGCTTCAAAATTAGGAATTTCATTTTTCTTTATCTTTTTTTTAATACACCAATCTTAGATTAACTTTGTTCATATTGAATTATAGGTCAATAATCTAAATGATAGCACGGTAGAAGAAAAGTTAAGAAAAGCCTTAGCTCGTGGCTTGAGTAACCGTGTGAGAAGGACGAAAAGTCTTTTTATTAATGGCTATAAATTTGGTATTACCGATCGTGAGAAATTTCGAACAACTCAAAATTCTGGAATCATGGTGGAAGCGGAGGGTCAACAGTATTATGGAAAACTGAAAGATATATTTGAATTAGATAATTACGGTTTTTGTAAAGTTGTAATGTTTCGTTGTGATTGGGTAGATATACATAGGGGTATCAAAACATACCCGAGCGAAAGTGTTCGTGTCAATTTCTCAAAGTTGATGCACACCGGTCGAAATTTGCATGATGATCCATTTGTTTTCTCATCTCAAGCAAAACAAGTTTTTTACGTCGAGGACGAGATACAAAAAGGATGGTTTCATGTTGTTAAGACTAAGCCTAGGGACTTGTTTGATATACTTGAATAATTAGCTACTTTAAGATCTTTTTTATACTATGTTTGTTATTTGATATGACTTGTTGCCAATTTAGTCAGCTTAACAGAAGATTGATTTTTTTTTTTTTCTGTATTCTTATGTTATTATATTATATTTGTACATTTTATATTTGGTATGCTTATTGTTGCAATATATAGAATGATTAGTCAAAGCTTAAATTCCTTATTATCTTCTATGTTATTGGTTGGATCAATAATTAATTTAAAATTTGAGTGATCTTCTATGATTTGTTTTGCGCTGCTCCATTTATAGGTTGGGTAGTTTGTTTAACCCCATATAAGTGAGTTAATAAGGGAACCTTTTGATTCGGATTGCTTGATAGAGGAATAACTTTAATAAGTTTTTGCGCTGTTCTTCTGCTATTTTCTGTACTGTAGTTGCTGTTCTTGTGCTGTTTTCTGTCGTTGGTGCTCTATAATTGCTGCTGCGTTTGCTTTCTGCTGCTGGTTGCTTACTTGCTGCTATTATTTGCTTTGATTTTTTTTTTCTCAATCATATTAATCTGGCTTCTGTTTCATATTTTCATTATTAATGTTATTCTCTTATTAGTTGTTGTCTTGCAAGTTTAACATGATCTTTTTGTATCATTTATCTTGTAGTGTTAGAAAAGATGACTTATCGAAGCAAGAGGGCAAGGGACATACTTGCGGCTGCAACTAAGGGACGAGATACTCTGTCGTCACAGCCTCCAAATACAACTATTGCAGACTAATCTTCTGGAAGTGAAGCTGCCTCACAACCCACCAAAAAGCAAGTTGTTGGTTCATTAAAATTTGATGAGGTGCAGAATGAGAAATGGGGGCCATTTGGTCCACCGAAAACCACTACTTCTGCACAATCACCTTCTATCAATCCCGAATCTATTTGGAAGAAACCTCCTACTACACCAACACCAAGTTTAATTATGGAAGCTGCTAAAGACAAACAAGGTTGCTCGCAAAAAACTACACCCAAACTTACTGCTATAGTCTCACCTAATATGCCACCTAACATGCCACCTATTGCACATGAACCATTCAGGCACCCTTCTACTTCTTCTCCTGCTACTCACCAACCATTCAGGCACCCTTCTACTTCCTCTCCTGCTACTCACCAACCATTTAGGCACCCTTCTACTTCCTCTCCTGCTATTCACCAACAATGTGACCTCCATCAACCTTCAAAACAAGGACTTCAGAACCAAGCTTCAAATGCTGCCAAAAGTTCAAATGCAGCTCCACAGAATAAGAATCAAACACAACAAAACATTGGTGAAGCTTCAAAAGAGGTCCCGAAAAAATCCAAGTCTCTACGGTGTAAGTTACTTCCAGATTGGCGTGAAGACATTGAGTTCGATGACAAGGAGGAGGTTTTGACCATAGGTAATTTATCTTAATTAAATCTTCCGTTTGTAGTTTTCAATATTATGTCTTGTGAATATATAATTCTGAAGTTTAGGCTAATGATCAATTGCTGTTTCTTTTTGGTCGCCTCTTCAATTGATCTACGGCTTTTTAAGATTTTTATTTGTCATCTTGGTTGTACTCAAAGTGACCGAGTTAGGCTAGATAGTTTGTTCAGCATTATGCCATCTGGACTTAATTTTAGGTTTTTGAAGTTTGCTGGTATTGTTAGTAGAATTTGCTGCTTCAGTGGTATTCTTTTTCTTGCTATTTGATGTTTTATTGAAGATAAAATTTAGTTGGTTGTTTGACTTGTATTTGATTTGGCAGTCTTATAATATATTTTGTGCTGTTTTATAGAATTATATTCTGATGTTATGTATTCTGATGCTTATCATGAATAAAAAGGCTTATATTGTTGTTCTGTTTTTTGGCCGTTACAAAGCTGTATGTGAGGTGATGTTTTTGGTATGTCCAGCCCTAATATATGGGTTTTTTGGACACCAGCACTTAGTTTTAAGTGCCTTGTGTCTTGAATGGATGAATCTCCCGATGTTCATAATTTATTTTGTAAGGTAATTTAGTATACTGATTGACCTTTGCTATCCAGACGATGAGATTTTGTGAAGATCCTAGTGATTATAGAATGTTTTGGACCATTAGTTATTGCTGTTGTCAATTGTTGCCCTGGTCATTGGAATAATGATTCTCATATCTTTTCTTAGTTGACTTCTACCATATCATGTGCTACTCTATTCCCTCCTCGCTAGACAAAAGACTAGATCATATCTTTTCTTAGTTGACTTCAACCAAATCATGATTATGTTGCTGATTTCTATCTTTGATAGTTTTACTGATTTATTGAGATGATATAATCTTATGATGTTGCCTCTGTTTTCTGTTAATTACCTTACATGGTATAGATGACAAGGGTAATACTACATTGGTGAGTGGTGTAATTCATCCAGTTGACGTTTTGAGTGCTAAAGGCTTCAAGTACGTTGTGGAATTCAATGATCTTTGCAAACCGATTAGGAAAGGTGGACATGTTTTGATTAAATTTATTGGTTATTTGGCAAAGATGGAGTCCCATTGTCCACTTGGACCAACAGATTGGAAAAAAATCGACGGGACTATAAAAGGGAATGTAGTTACAAATATGCGAGTACGTACAATTTTCCTCCACTCAAATTTCTTTTCTTTTCTTTCTATGGCGTACTATATACTTCACTATATTTCAGTGTGTTACACTAATTTTTTTTTTAAAGGACCACTTTGTGATTTCCGATGGTAAAGAATACGACAAACAAGCTTTGCAACGTGCCAATAAAGCATGGAGACAATATAAGTTTGAATTGAAAAAGCTATATTTCAAGCCAAAAGAAAAAACAATGGGTGAGAAGAAAACACAACCACCAGCAGGAATTAGCCCCCTGAATTGGACAGCGTTGTTAGATTATTGGTATTCTGATAAAGCACAAGTAAGAACAATTAGTTTCATCATGTTTCTTGGAAGGATTTGTTGGAAATATTCCTTTATTTTAATTATTATTTGAATAAGTTGGAAATGAGGTTAGGGTATGTTGCTAAATCCGAAGTGTATTCTAAGTTTCTTAATAGTTTATGAGTTATGAATGAGTCTAATGACTTTCTCCAAGCCTGAGCAGATAGTGACATCATTTCTAGATAGGATTTTTAGTCCGCTACGTTAATAAGGAATTATTTTTTACAGTGCTCAGACCATCAGGCTTATGTGGTCGACTATCTAATTTAATTTTTTTAGTGTCATCTTATCTTATGCTTGTTTGTTGTCGACAACATAAGCCTGAGTTTCTGTTTATATGTAAGTGAATTCTTATTCAAGCTTTTAACTTCCTTACAAACTATCTAGAAATTATTCTATAGGTTCAGGGGCTGTTTGGTTTTAGGCTAAGGGTAAGGGAATGGTTGGCAATTTTTATAGGATATTTGTTACGCATGTTATACCTAATTTGTTCTTGCTTACTGTAGACACCTAAAAATGTCTCCCCAAATCCAAACCCGATGATGAACAACCTTTCACCGCCATTATTGGTCGGGTTGAGTATTTAATTTTTGGAGTGCTTAAATCCATATTTCCATTTCATAAACCAACCCTATTACTAGCCCATTTCCCAAAACCATAACTCATTTTCCTCTTTTCGTGCCTTTAAACCCAAAATAATTCATTTCGTGTCCTTTAAAATCATTAATTTCGTATCCTTTTTATAAAAACGTTTAATCCAGTTTATTTTGGTCCATAATCTGGGTCCAATGATTGAATTTTTGGATGGGGATTTAAAATAGCTTTCCAACGATATATTATAAGCCCAAATCCGAGTTATAACGAATAAGTTATGGCCAAAATATTAAACTAGCCCAAACCGAACCTAAGCCCACCTTACCTACGACCCAATGATCATGTGGAGGGTCCAAATTATTTAATCCCATTCCTAAACCAATTAGGATTAATTAGAAGCTTCTACAAGTTTCTAAAAGATCTTAATTATCCGTTTTGAAAAGATAAGATTAAAGAGTTTGAAATTGAATAAAACTTTTCTTTTTGAAAGTCCTATTTCTATCAGAATTGAAAGACGTTCAAAGATAGACATATATGAATTTCGTGCCTCATATTTTTTATCTGAATTTTATATGGTTGGATATCCCTTGAAATTATCTTTCCAATGATATATTATAATATCAATTCCGAGCTATAACGGAAAAGATATGAATAAAATGTCAAACTCTATCCAAAACTGACACCGACTCACTATTTCGGCTATATCTTTTGTTCTACAACATATTTTAATCTGATTCTAATTGGGTTAGAAATTAGACTTCAAAATCTTTCCAACGATATCTTATTCATCTTATTCCGATTTCTGGATCAAAAGATATGATAAAAATAAAAACCGCAAAAACTGCTGTCTATCGCAAGCGTTTTATCCGATTCGAATTCTTATCTTCTCTTGATTCGACCCCTCTTTTCCCCTTATAAATAGAGGTCATATCTCCCCTTTTTTATTCATCAACTAGCTTGATCATCAAATCCTTCTCTCTTTCTTTTTTTACACCAAAAATCATTCTCTTCTCTCTCTCCCATATTCTAAGCCTTAAACCTATATTTCTAATTCTATCATTTCTTCCTTAAGCACTCCAAGGAGTTCATACAATACCCAAAGTTCTATACTTAAACCAAGGTGTGAAAGGTATAAATGAGGGTTTGGACCAAATCAACTCTACTTTTGATTTAATTTAATTTAATTTCCATTTGATTTATATTTTTATTGAAGTTACTAACAGTTTATTCACGATGTAGCAATTCAAGGAAACGCGGAGTGTGAGTAATTAAATTAATCACTTAATTACTCTTATTTTTATTCTTATTGTTAGTATCATGATTAGGGTTATTATTATTATTTGATTTGACTAACGCTATTATTGTTAAATTGCTTCCAATATTAATGTTTATTCTATTATTTTTATTGAACTATATTGCATGTTTAAAGGTAATATGTAATTGAAAATCACGCCTAATAAGATAATTTGGACGACCGGTTTAGGATCCTTTTTAATCTTATTATTAATTGAAGTGATCACCAAATTTTTAGAATTATGTGTGCATTAATTTTGTACCAATTTAGTTAAATAATAGTTTGGAGCAAATTGAATATTTGTTTGTATGCCTTTGAGATCACAGGAATGCTTTTCATTATAAGAATCGAGTAGAGGCCAATACGGGCGAATGTGAATCCATGACTCACTTCGTACCATCATCCCCGATCCTCCTTTCGTGGTGCCGAACCATATGGAGTTAGTAATCTCACGGATTATGAATGGGGTGTAACCTTCACGGGTCAATCGTTGTTGCCTATCGTTGTCCCTTATCGTGGTTGCCTTTTATGATCCGTGAACGGTTTACAAGTTCCTTAAAAACTTGTTGGCGGCTCCCTACTTTCCTTGTCCCTAATTGTATTATGTCAATTCCCACTTCCTATGAGTGCCAAACATATTCACAACATGCTTAACGTAGGCGCAGTTCGAACGACGCCTACACTTACGCTTAATTAATGCAGAGTTTGGCAGAATGTGGAAAAAGGGCACGATCTTTCCTTTCAGTATCACAGATGTGGCAGCAATAGCTATGCAAATCAATAAGCTGATTATGTACGGCTTATATACATATATGTTATTGTTATGTTTTGTCTTCATTCATTGTGCTTCTTGTTGATATTGCTATATCTCTTTAATACCCTTTGCATTTGCATTATCAATTCATAGGAAGACGAACATGGAGAACCAATGAGCTTATTAGCTCTTTGGATTAAATCTCACTCGGGTAAAGATGGAAGCTTTCTCCTTGGCACAGACACTGAAGATTTTGTGGTACAATCTGATGTCATATTTTTTTTAGTTTATAAATTTTATAAAATGATGATGACTAATTGCATAATCCCTATTATTTTGTGTAGGATGATGTAAAAGCTAAGGTTGAGCACGCAACTTAGGTTGATGTACCCTACGAAGTCACAGACAGAGCTAGAAAATGAAGCTTTTGAGAAAACGATGTATAGCGATGAGATTCCGATCGTCCTGTGGGTTATGGACAAGGGGTAAACAAGGGTGATATCTACGGAGTGCATGGTGTGTTAAGGAAAGAAGGGTACGGAAAATTCCAAAGAAGAGTTAATTTAATGGATAATGTTAAAGAAGATGTGGCTACTTTGTACAAAAAGAATGAGGTGCTTGAAAAAGAAAATGAAAAGCTCAAAGACCAAGTCCAAGAGAATAATTTTTTGCTGAAATATCTTGTTGGACACTTTTCTCAAATTGTAGGTAAAGTTAGTGAGGGTAACACTGATCCACATATGCTAAGACTTGCACAAGAAGTATTGGGTATGACACACCATCAGGTACATCATTTTGTTTCTTAGGTACTGAACTTTTTTACATTATGTTACATATAATTTAATTTTCCCTAATTATAAGAGTAAGTGTGAGGGAATTGATGTTTTGGTAATTTAATTCCTGGTGTTTGTATGTTTGATGGGATCAACAATTGGTACTTTGCCATTATATTTTTTTTATGTCCTATGGGTAAAATCAATTTTGCGTTGTTGGGGTGTGGATTTTGTTGATAATAGGAGATGCCGGCAATCTTGAATGCTGGTTCATTTGGATGATTTTTCCCTGTTTCCTCTGTTATTGTTGGGGAACTCAAACTCTCAATTGTTTGTGCTAGTATGAGGGGTTTAATGGCTGCTACTACCTGTCCTTCTGCTACAGTAGCTCTCTTTAGGGCCGAATCTCAGCCACTGGTTTGTATGTGGCTACTAAAACTGAAGGTGGGCTTTGGTGGCTGTCAAGTGGTTCAACTAGTTTTAGGGGGTCTGAGAATATGGTGCCTTTGGTGCAGGACAAGTTCATATGCTACTTAGTCACTTTATCTTATTAAATTAAATGCAGTTAAACTTCGTATTTATACTATATAATAATTTATTGATTTATATTTTCTAATTTTTATTGTAATTTTCACATATGAAGGTTGGAAGAGGTACGATGAAGGGGCTAAAGCAGAAGGACAATGATAAAATGAGTTAGATTGTGGAGGCAAGTAGACTTGACAGCTAGCCTAATTCGGTTTGGTGCGACGACTCTATGATGTTAATTATTCTTAGTATATATTTGTTCTTGTTTGGAGACACTAGTATTAGTAGCAAACAAGGTTTCTAATAGTAATTATGTTGTTAATATTTTGGATCATTTTAGAATGATGTTAAAAATATGTTGGTTTAAATTTTTAATATATGTATTGAAGTTTTTTTCTATATATATAATTTTAGGTCTAAATTAGATTGGAATTTTTTTTTTTTTTTGTAAAAAGGTACGAATAATCTCGATGCATATCCATGTCGAAAAATGTTAATTTAACTAAAATATGGACATGAAAAAGCGTCTCCACTTTTTTAGATTGTAGACTTCAAAAAGCGTCGACAAAATTGAAAACATGAAAATAAAAATTAAATAAATTAGAAATTGTGGTCACAAAAAAGCGTCAGAAAATATCAGATACTGGAGACACAAAAAACGTCGACAATATCAGATATTGGTGACACAAAAAAGCGTCGAGAAATTCTTTCATACGGCGCGAAATACAGAAAATTTAGACGCTCCGTATAAATATTAGGACGCAAAAAAGCGTCTAGAATCTCGACGCGTTTTTACGTCTTCATAAAATTCTCGACATCAAATTTCTCGACGCTTTTAAACGTCGAGAAAAGCCTTAATAAGCATCGAAAAAAGGCGGGATTTCTAATATATATATTATCTAATCTTATCTTTTGTTCTCAAAAAAAATCTAATCTTATCTTTTAAAATGTTTGTTGTACTTTGTATACTATTAGCACTCGTGTGATGCACGAATTAGAATAAAAAAATTCAATACAATATGAAATAATTAATTCACAAAATGTGGGTTTTTGGAAAGAGAAATATCACTAATACGCTTTTGGTTAATTGATGTTCACACTTTAATAATTTTGGAGGGAAAAATCTATATGAGAAATTGACATGTGTACAGTGATAATGTAAGCGATTTTTTATTTTAGTTATTGTTATAGATTGGAATAAACATGTATC